TAAGAAAAAAACTAAATCTTAAAAAAAAATTAAGATTTTAAAAAACCAAAAACCCTCAAAAAAACCCCCAAAAAACAACAAAACAAAACAAAAAATCCACCCTAAAAATGGGAACTTAATGAATTATCCATGAGCTTTTGCTGAGGAGTGAAAAACTGGAGAAACTCCCAGTTTTGTCTGGGAGTTTCAGCATTTCATGTCACCTTGTAGACAGACACTGTTTTCCAAAGTCAGTTATGTGATGAAGAAGATATTAAGATTAAATGAGCAGTGCAGAACTCAAAAGCAAACCCATAATAATTAATAGATATTTAAATTGGCAGGCAATCGATTTTCAAATTGTCCTTTCACCCTTGTGTGTAATGCGGTTTGCCTCACAGTGACAAATTAGCAGCAGCACTGTGCTGTGGCTGTTTCTGCTGGAAGGTTCTCATTACCATTCAGGGGTTTTGCTGGCTCATCACTGAATCGTGGAGAGCATTTCGATCACTGAAGTGTGGCCCAGAAACCAGAGAAAAGATCGGAAACAGAGTCTACAAAAGCCTTTTCTTAAAGTCTAAGATTCATTGGGTTTTGAATAGGACTAAGTTCTTTGGCCTCAGCGTTATTATTTCTTATGTATCCCAGAGGAAGTGACAGTACACTCACCCCCTCCATCCCTCCCTTTAAATATTAGTATTCTTGTTAATCTGTCAGGAAAATCAGAACAGTAACATGTAATGGACTGAAGGTACTTCTTTTTTTCTTAATTGAAAATAACAATCCCCTTTATCCCAGTAGCTCTGGGCTGAGATCTAAGATTTTGATCCAACTTTCATTATTCACCATCTCCAAGATAATTATACTAGCTGCCAATACGAAGACCAAGATAAGCATCTCCTCAGACAAATGATTTTCAGTTACTGGCCAAAACATAAATCTATTTTTTAGTTGCTACTTGGTATTTTTTTTAATCAAGGTTTTTCTTTATCAGAGTTCTAATTAGAACTAGTTGCATTTTTGTTTGTCAAATTAGGTATTTCTAAAACAGTAAAGCTTGCACGGAGCACGTTGCTTTGCTACCATTTCCAGTGGGGTAGGTTCTGTATCTCAAGAACACAAACCTCAGTCAGACAGAGTGAAATTAATAAGAAAACTTGGAATTTTAGACATGAAAATTCATATTTGTAGGCAGTTTTGTGTAATTCTACAAGACTATGCTTTGATAAAACAAAAGTAAATATTTGATCTTCAAAGACTTCAAAACCAGATGAAGTGGGATTTTGTTCTTCATACACTTTGTGTTATGACAATAGTTCTTGTCTTTCAACATTTTTGCACTCTGCTCATTTTTCAAATAGCTTGACTATATTTAGGGTTCCTGAGGTGTTTGGATTGTGTGCAGCACACAACACATCACCTTTGAGAGCGTGTGCACTAACAAACTTGTGACAATGCTTTTGCCACTTCTGGTGCTTTCTCTTTTTCCACATTCAGAGTTCACACATTGTCATTATTGTTTTTTATAACCCATGTGCAGCTTTGTATTGTTACCAGTGAACAAAACGCATGAACTGAACTCATACTGGACTTTAAGAATAAAAGTTAGATTAAAATTCCAGGTATCTCAGAGGGCAAAAAAACCCCTTTCTTCAGGTTTTAACCATTTCTTTGCAGTTAGTATAATATCACACAAGGAATTGGTCAATTGATAATGGGCTTAAATTTCACCAGGGAAAATTTTAGTTAGATTTCAGGAAAAATAGATTTAACCATATTCATTTAGTTGAACATTAAAAGGGGAGGCCTGTGGACAGTTCATTATTTGAATATTTTATAATGTAAATAGACAAGCCTCTGTTATGAATTGTTGGAGTGAATTGAATGCTGCTGTCAGGCAGAGGGACGAATTTGATTGTCTCTCGGAATCGCTCTTTATTGTCTGTGCCTCATTTTTAGTTGAAGGTTCCCACAGTTCTGATTTATGTAACCCTTGACCTGGCCAGGTGCCTATAAAGGATATTTTGCCCTCAGTTCTTACATGCTGTTTGCAGATGTTGAGGTTGAGCTGTTTCATTCTAGAGCAGTACAAGGACAAGTACAAGCTGATATTCTCAAGGTAACGCAACCTCAGGCAAGGCAAGAAAATGCCTGCCCCAGGCGACCCTCTACTATTTAGTAATGCATATTCTCTGACAGTTTCTCCACAGATATTGTCAGACAATATTCTCTAGTCAGATACTGTCTGCTGGTTTGAAGTTAACAAGAACAAGGGCTGATGTGGATATCTGGAACAAATGAGTGAATTTATCAGCAAGCTAACCAAGGCAAGAAAGTATTTTGTCTACTGATATTACCTAACAACCTAAAGATTCAGCCAGCCCTTCAGGGATTGGCATGATGATGCCTTTGATGGGAGGTGGAGGTATATTATTGGTTAAATACTCCATTTTTTTTTCTTCTTTGCTTACCAGCATTTATCTAGCATTGTCCAGGTTTATTTAGCAGAAAATTTCCTGAAACCGTGTTGTCATTTCAGCAATGATACTTGCAGCAGGTGAGTGTCAGTGGCATGTTGTGAAATCTATCTCCACTCTTTTCATTTACAGTGGAATTACTGGAAGGTGAATGAATTACTTTAGCTAGATACCTCTACAGCCTGCAAATAAGAGAAAAGGGGAAGAAGCAGTACTGCCAAGAACAGCTGTGACTACTGTAAGATGAAGCTGTCAGATCATCTTCCTCTGTTACAATGTGTTGTAACACCAGACATTGCAAAGGCCCTTGAGATTTGCAGCTATACTGGAACAGAGATCTTACCCATGTCTGCAGGAGGTATCAAACATCCATGTGCAGCACAGAGGTTACATCACATGCAGCTGGAATGTGGAGTTTACTTAGCTGTTTATTTGAGATAAGGATTATGGGCCTATGAACTGGGCTGGAATTCTCTTCAGGGTCAGATTTGTAGGAGATTTTCAGTGAAGTATTGGTTTATTTGGGATTATTTAACTGTCAGTAGATTAGACAGAAAAGTTCCCCTAAATGAGATTGTAGGGAGTCCTCCAGAAAGTGTTGAAGGAAGGATTGTGGTACTCTGCTCTCAGCCCTTGCACTGATGTCATAGAGAAGCAGTTCTGACTGCAGTAAATGGATAGCAGTTCCAGTAAATGGATATTGTTAAACATTGTTAACTTGCGCTGAGAAGCCAAAGGCAGCCTTAGTCACTGCTATCCCACACCCTGTGCGTCTGCAAGTATTTCCCAACATTAGGTGTGTTTTAGCATCACTAGCAGGACCAGCACTTGACCTTTGCACCTCTTCAGTCACTGATCTTAATCGCTGATCACTGAAAGTGAAGAAGCAATTAAATATGAAAAGGATCATTTGAGGCCTCAGTCCTGTATGATACTGAGCATGTCTGTACATTCTTATGACTCAGCTAGTCATAAGACTGGGGCAGTTGAGATCACTCACCACCTTGCAGGATGAAACCATGGAATGAAACAACGACACATCTAATCAATAGCAGAGACAGAAAAATTGGATTTATTATGAGTACTGATTGAACAGCCAGATTAAGAATAATTGAGGACAACATCAGAGAGATGAGGAAACTTTCATAGATTTGGAGACTGTTGCTCTAGCACACTTTTTTTTTTCACAGTCTCATACCAGAAAAAAAAAATCTATTGGCTCTTTGTATCAGTTTTAGAGGACCAGAGACTGCTCTAATAACTGCTGTCACAATGAGGGATGTGACAAATCCACATTTGAGATACACTAAGTGCCAAATACTAGTGTTTCTTCCTAGCTTACAAGTATGGATGTGTGTCAATGCAAGGCAGAGCTTGAGAGCAGTTACAGTAGCTACAATGGAAGTGGGAGAGATGAGAAATTAATACTATCACTAAAAAGCAGATGACAGCTCAGAGAAGAACAGGGATGCAACACTGCAAGTGCCGTGATTTTAGTCTTAAGATACCTTTTCTTTTATAATTTAATAGCATTTACAGGAAGATGTCTGGGTTAGACTTTCAGGGTTCCTTTCCTTACAAGTTTTCTACACTTATTTTTTCATTTTTTGATAGCTGTATTAGAGCTACATTAGAGCTATATTAGAGATTTTTACTTTGTAAAAGCTACTTGTGATGTCCAGAGGAGAGAACTAAAATTGCATCTGGGAAGTAACACAGGAGTAATGAACTCTTGAAACCAATCTTCACCATTTTCATGTGAATAACTTGACAGTAATACATTAGGAAAACAAAAATCAGGAAATAGAAGGTGATGTAAAACATAGGTTAAAGCAAAGCACTTGTAATAGCAGGAATAGAATTGTGGGCAAATCCAGGTAGAGTGATACCAAGAAATTCTGCTGGACTTAGTTCTTCCTTTTGTTGCAGACAATGAAGTAGTCATCACAGAAAGGCCTATTATGAAGTCTGAAAAGAAGACTGCAGTGCTAGCTGTTGACTTTGGTGGCTTTTTTTGTAAAACTGTCCAGAAGATATAAGAAAAAATTGGATGGGAATGAGAGCTTTCAAGCTCCTTTCAGCCTCTGAGGTATCGCTCGACATTAAAACCATGAAGGTTCCAACTGTATTCCATCTGGCCCTTCTCTGATGGTGACCAGCAGAAACTATGGGGAGGAGTACAAGGACATGTAGTATTTTCCCCACATCACTTTGTAAAAACACTTGGGCTTCACCTGCAAATTGTGAGTACAGTGTATTGGCATTGCTATGAGATAGAGTGGCTGTGATGACGCTGTGACATTACCAGACTGAATCCTCTAAACACATTTTCCATGTAAGGCAACAGGACACTCAGTCTGTCAATACAAATTTGGCCTGATTATGGATCTTGTCAAAGGTTTTGTTGTTATTCAAATTTGGGTGTTTTTTCACACAATGAGTAGTATATCAATATATTCATATTATCAAAGGGTTTGTTGTTATTCAAGTTTGGGTGGTTTTTTTCACACAATGAGTAGTATATCAATATATTTAGATGCACAGAAGGGAAAACCACAAAACTCTAGACCAGAAATTGATTTATTTATAAGTTATGAAATCTGAAGTTATCCTTAAATACAAATAGTAATAGAAACAAACAGAAAGCTTGTACAAAGGTTACAGAAGAATGATTAAGTGAACAAGGTCATGCTGAAATCATGTGAATAGAACTCGTGGTTTTCTGTGATCATTCACTTACATTTAAAGTAAAACTAGGCCCTTACCCTTGTGATTTACAATGCACAGGGAATCTGGAAGTTTGCCCCAGACTAACAATCCATGGGTTATTGTGAATCCTATGGGCTTAGTATTACAAATCTATGTCCACATAAAACAGGGTAAAATACTAATTGCTAATATTTTTCATTCAGCTGGCTTTTCCAGCAATGTTTCAGCAACCATGTTTCAGCAACCTGTGTGCCATATGTGAACATGTCTGAGTTATGAATATGCTGAATTTCTTTCCAAAGGAGATTTATTCTCCAGGGACTTTGATCTCAGCATGGGTAAAGAGGTAATCACGAAGATCAGAAGGCTTTTCCTTAATTCTGGATTGATTCAGATGCTTTAATATAATACTGTTAAGTTTCTTCAGCTCTTCTATGTTCTTCTTTTCAGATAGTAGCCTGCTTGATATTTGGTCCACTTCATTTCTAGTTTGAACTTGAAAAGGAGAATGTACCACATTAAATTGGCAGCATTTAAGTCAAGGGCATCACTACTCTCACTTGTATTCCTGTGAGGAATAATGATGACTAAAAATATTAAACAGGAAAACAACTACAGAACCTAATAATAAGAAGTTATACATCTGGTGGGTTTACCTGCTCAGTACATTCTTTTCTGCTTATTTGCTGGATTCTTCTTTTAGTTTAGTGCAGAGTAATAAAATCATATATGGCTCAGACAATTTTTGCAGTTTTCAGGAGGATAACCATTAGTATCAACAGGAAAATATGCAATATGCACACTTGGAGCTATTTTTCTTTTGGCCTTCTGTAGTTAAAAAATTTACCCATGAGTTTTGAAGCTTGAGCGTAATAGTAGCAATGCTAAATGAATCTATGCATGTGGTTTGCAAACGTCTCAGATTATAGAACACACTATATCTGTATGTATCTAATAAAACATTTTAACATAAACTGAAACATCACTGGAAATCAGTTTGAAAAACCCAGGCCTCCACCAACCTGAGTGCAAGCAAACTGCTTTAATTCTTGTAAGAAATTTTTTCACTTTAGTTTATAATTTTTCCACTAGAGCAACCCAATACTAATTTTTCTATACCAAGGCTCTACTTTTAGCAGCTCCATGTTAGAATCATGTTACTTAAAATCTGCTTTATGTTCCTGTCTGATATTTCTTTGAGTGCCTGTAAGAAAATTTAATCAAGGGTTAGGATCTCCTGGCCTAAAAGCAAAATCAATTTGCTACATTTCATCAAATTCCCTACTACAGGATATAAGAAACCTTGATTTCATATGGGTTCAAATTCTTTCAAAATAGTCTTGTAAATTGAAATAATGCACCTCAGATGCCATTCAATATTATTAGCTAAGAAAACCCCAATATGACAAGGGTTCCATTAACCAGCCATGTCTTCAGCTAAGCATGCCTGATCAGTCCTAAAAAACTGGAACAGTAATTGTGTCTATAGACTCAATGCTACATGAAAATCTTGATAAATGTCTTAATTCTTTTTCTTATGCTTAAGACTTTCTTAGTTCCAAATCAATTTCCAGGCTGTACTTTGATGACAAAGGGTCAGGTCTTCTTTCAGGTAGCCTGATTTAAGTGTTAGCCTGGTTGGAATTCCAGTTTCAGTGGAGTGACCCCAATACTGAGTTTTATCTGGAAAGAGATGGAAGGCACGTTGCCAAAGTATCTCACTGCCGTACAATTACCTTTAAATTTTAATTTCATTCTCAGCCAGCATTTTTAGCAACAGAGTATAATGCTGCTGAGATAAATTTTTCACAGCTGTTGAAGCTCACAAATCCTTAGCACTAAGAATAAAGCTGTGCCTTTTAGCCCTGAGAGAGTGTTGTTTGCTTGTGCTTCTGCCCCCAGGACCACGACCCAGTGCCCTGAACCAGCCAAAGCCTTTGACCATGCAAATACTGGAGTAGCATGTCACAAGGTAGCACGACACGTTTCAGCAAAGTTATTTTTCCAATTGACCCTACATTTTCAAGAACTACTCTTTGGTTCACTTACATATTAAGAATATTACAAATGAAACAAGTGCCAAACTGACGGTCAAAGTAAGAATAAAGGTGACGAAGAACAAACGCTGGTTTCTTGCATGGCTCCCTGCTGTACTTTCTGCAGTACCACCAGTGTTCTCTTCCTCATCTGTTAAGAGATGACAAACCATTTGGTGATACAGTTTTTTTAAGGTTGGTTAGGATAAGCATGACAAAATGCTTCTGGCATCATGAAGTGATGCAGAATACATTGTATATTTGGCCAGCAGATTTATTTCCTGTGATATTTCATGAAAGGGGAAGAAATCAACTTTATGAACTCAGCTTGAATTTGGAAATATAAAAAAAATTATACATCTGTTATAGCTGTTAGAACACATTCAACAAAAATGTTTCTGTGTTGAAATAGTGTTTTGTTGAAGTTGACCTGTTTTACAGTTCAGAGTTTTACAGCTGTTTTACATGTACAAAGGTTGCAATGAAGTTTTCTTCAGGCAGATTTATAAGTGCTTGATTGCATTTAATCTTTTCAAAAGGGAAGAAAGCGAAATTCATATTGAAAACCAAGGAACAGATTCATCATACACATTCATCCTCTAGATATGCTTCTTTTTCTTTTTAATGAGAAGTATCCCTGGGATGATAAATCTCCCAAAATAAACACCTCATTTAAACCCCTAATGTTGGATAGAATTAATTTAGGTCTTGGCTGTTTTGTCTTAAAACAAATGTTTTCAATATTTTTCATCTTTAGGATTTGTTGGTTTCATTACAGTAAAAAATTAGGCACCTATCCTCCCAGTTGTCAGGAATGGAGCAGACTCTTACATAGACTACAGACGTTGTCCTTTAAACACAGGAAGAATGAGGGGAAAAAGAAAGGCTCTTTCAACGCTGACCTTGAATCAGCTCAACAAGCCAGTTCATTGCTTTTTAAAGAATGTGTTGCATATATAGGGAAATTCAGTAGTTTCTCTCATAAAAAACAGTTGCAATCAATGTGAGGTGGCAGTAAGCCCCAAAGATAACAAGTCAAGTGAACACCATGAGGAAATTAATGCGAATGCAAAAAATTTACACTTGAGCCAGTTTTGTTTAATCTTATGTTTGTATACTACTGTAATAACTTACAAAGATTTGGTTTTATTTTCTGCTTTGGAGGGAGGAGGAAGCTAATGTAATTTCACTTTGGTGTCAGTCTCATACGTACTAAAATTACGTGCAAATTACTGTAATTTATCCTTCTGTAATTGCTCTCTTGCCATTCTGAAATGGAGAGTAGTGTGTGCATCTGTGAAAAATGTATTTCTAGGTCATGTTCTTGTTTTAGCTGGTGGAAATCTCTGAGGTCTTTTCAACTGAGCCTGTAGTGATAAAGCTGAAGAAAGGGTGCATATGCCATTACAGGACTTTAATAATGACCCTACCTAGGGCTGAGCAATCCACTGAGCTGGTAGATCTCTGGGAATATCTCTGTTTTTCTTTATTTTGTGTTTAACACACTCCTGTCCGTGAGTAAGCTGAAATATTTTCCTATTTCTCCTTTGAGGTTCTATTCTTATTCCCTTAGCATTCATAACAAATACACCATATAATAAGTGTCTGCACCAATATCCCTTTCTAATAAGAATAATAGGGATGGGCAGGACCTGCTTCTGCTGCCTGCCAAGTATCCTAAGTTATCAATAGTGGTCTCAAAATTGGTGTGAGCTCGCTCTGCCTAATGAGTACTTCTTACTATTTCATCAGGCTGAACATGCCAGAGTGCAGTGTTGTGAGGAATGGGTGAGCACACATTCTTGTCCAACTGCAAGCAGTTGGAACATTTTATCATCTAAAACATGAAATTACTGCATGGCTTCTACTGAAGCAACCAAACAGCATATGCATTTTAAACAGCTTTTGACATGTCTCTGATATTCTGGCAAGAGAACCAGAGTTTTATGCTGCTGAGTAAGTTAGCTGACAGGATGAGATATCTACAGATTCTCCAAGCTTAAAAGCTACATTTTAAAAATAATCCTAGAAGGAGCCAAAGGATTTTACAAATTTATGAATAAAGTACTTATTAAGCTACCATTTTTTACTGCTGAAATGTAGGGAGGGACATGCATGTGATTATTCCAGAGAATCATATATGTTTTCACAGAACCTTGTATATTTACATGAAAAGTATATAATACTGTCCAATAAAATTGCAAAAGAAAGCAAAACAGTCACACTGAAAGGAGTTTCTTAAAATTAAAATTTATATATGCCATTGTCTCATTTTCCATGTGTAGAAGTGACAATATCAAGATAATCTGCTTATGAGAAATTAGTACTTTATGTCTAAAATGTTTGCGTTAAATGTGGAAACCAGCACTACTCTACTTAGTAGGATTAGGAAAAGTTAGGGGACTTGGAAACAGAAGTAATGAGAAAATATTTAAGACCCATAATTAGAAGCATGATTAAGTATGGCCACATTTTAACATAGCTGTTGATCTATAAATTTCTTCACTCAAATTTACCATTACAATAAGGGAAATAAAAGCAGACACATTGTTATGTGGAATGCTGCTGAAGAGCTCCAGGTTTTAAGATATTTTCAGGTCACAAAGAACTCAAATTGTAACTATCTCTGGATAAAAATATTCTTGTTGCTGTGAGAAATCAAAGACAAAAGCCTTATCAAACCAGTGGAAATGTGGGAGCCATAACTGAAACTGTGAGTAAAGAAAATGCAGAAAGTAAAATGCTTAAAGAAATGCTTCACAGGGTGTTTCAGGTATCTGGTTTGAGTTCTTAGGCAATGCATCTTAAAGGAATGAACAGAAATTCTCAGGTGCTTCTATTGCCATGTATGAATTTTAGTGCTTGGGAAAAGCTATAAGGCTATTTATATAGTAGGTGTATATTGGGCATTACTAGAGACACTATCCTGCAAGAGATCACATCATAAATCCCAACTGAAATAGAAGATAAGTTCAGGTTTGAAAGCAAATCCCTAACTAAATGCACAGATTTTCAGGAACCTAAAGCAGAAATACTCAGCAGGGACAGCTAAATCATTAAATGATGCCATTTTCAAACTTTTTTTTTTACATTTTTCTGTACAGAGCTTGGCATACCTATTGGCCTATTAGGCTGTTGACATCAGTGACACTAAATATGGATTGCCTGTACAGAAATCCACAGATCACCTATCATACATACCTAGTGAATGTTGGGATTCATCTGGACAAACATTCAGCTTGTTTAGGTTGTTTAGGGAATCAACTACATAAAGTTTTCCTTCTTCATGACTACCAGGCAGGTTAAATTCCAAGGAAGGCTTCTCCATTGTCTCTAAAATAAACAATAATTTAAAAGGTAAATTAACATATGGCTGTGGGAAATAACTTGTAACAGTTGGTGTCCTGTTCTAAGGAAATACTGAGCAGCCCAAATGATCCTCAAAATACAGAGATTTGAAGGACCAGCACACTTACTAGATTATGAAGACAAGGACAGCTCAATACATAGCACTTGTTTATTCTTGGAAATCCTTGATTATTAAAACACACACTTACTAGATCTTGAAGGCAAGGACAGCTCAATACATAGCACTTGTTTATTCTTGGAAATCCTTGATTATTAAAACATTTCATTTTTGGATTGTGTTTGTGCACATACGTGTGTGTATGGGGAGAAAGAGAATAGTCAATTTGACTGGCTCCAGCATTGATCTGAATGGTACCTATTTAGTATATTACGATTGTGTTTGTGCACATATGTGTGTGTATGGGGAAAGAGAGAAAGAGAATAGTCAATTTGACTGGCTCCAACATTGATCTGAATGGTACCCATTTAGTATATTATCCCTTGATTTGATGAGTACTTGATAAGAGGTGGTGTGAGATTCTGACCAGTGAAAGCCAAACCTTCACTAACACTTCCAGGAAGGATGTCACTCAGGTCCTCTTCTTTCAGCATGAAATAATTGAGCGATAAAACAGAGAAAGCAGGTATGAATGTAGGAGATAAGCAACAAGAGTATGTGTCTGTTTATAAACCTTAGAATATCATTGTGAATCTATTATTTGTGAAAAAAAATTAGTCTACTTCATACTTCGGACAAATTTTAAAAGCTTTTTCTTCAGACTAGTACCTCTTGCTTTAAAAAAGGCACTGGGTGAAGTTCAATTAGTAAAAACAGTTTCTCTGCAGAGTCTGGATGCATGAACTCAGTGAATGATTCTTAACATGAATACAGTTTTGAAAGAAGAATCAATACCTAGGGAAGCGGCTTCTATGTACTATACATTATTCCTTATCAGTCTTTTGCTTTTTTTTTTACATGACTCTGATTGCAAAAATGTCTTCCAGAAACAAACTACACTTCTAGCCATAAACAAATGCAGGCACTCTAAGTAGGCATGTTTGTCTACAATTGTCACTGAAAACTCCCTCCATAATTATTGAAGAAAAATATATTCCTCCAGGTAATATCCTTCTTATTCTAAGATATTCCTTTCTCACCTTGGAATCACTGTCTTTATGTATGTTTTTTTGCTAGTGAATATAAGGAGGGTGCCCTCACAGATTAAATTTGGATTAGAATGTGTCTTACCTGTTCAGTATTTTATAAAGCTCCCAAGTTCAATTTTATCTGCCAACATAAATCAGCGCTTTGTGGGATGCAAACCTCCCTTGATGACATGTGTTAAGCACCTAAGGGTCATTTTTAAATCCTAGATGGGTTAACTGTCCTCTTGACATGCTTCTGAGCCTTCTCTTCCTCTCCAAGGAATATAGAACACAGTGTGACCAGATTCCTAAAAAAACCACTAAATTAAAAACCTAAAATTTGAACCCTAGTTATTTGCAGAAAATCCTCACTCCTTCCCTCATCAAACCAAATGCAGAAGATGGCTATAATTCCCCCAAACCTGAGCACACTGCAAAGTAGACACTCAATGAGCCTCAGTTAAGTCTGAAGACTAAGCACTGAAAGCAATCCTGACAATAGGGCTTGTTCTCCTGCTAGTAGAGACTGACAGGACTATAAGGATACTTTCATATTTCTTTTTAACAGCCCGTAAGAAAAGATCACAACTTACTTTTTTCTCTGTTCATAAGTGTTGCTTCAAAGTACAAAGAAAATGTAGAAAAGCTGGCATGGTAGGAGTTAAGCTTGCCTAGTGTATGGTCTTAGGTGTGCAGCAGTAACTGCAGGGCAGAGGGCTGTGCCACTGTCCTTCCCCTAGAGCATGACATGGCACCAGGCAGCACAACAGTCTGTGAGCCACGTCCCCAGCAGCGCTGGCTCTGCTCTGCTGTCTCCCCACATGCACACCCTCAGCCAGCACAATCATTATGGAGCCCTGTGTTTGAACGGTGTGCCAAAAGTTACCACTTCATGCACAAATGCTGCTGGTTATTTTTAGCTTCTGAAGAGCAGTTGTTTCTCTCTTTTGATTAATACTCCCCGCAGCTTTAGGGAAGACTCTTCTTAACAGCTTGAGGTGTAATAAATGTGACTATCTTTGATTCATTAGTATTATGAATTCTATGTTTCTGCACTTATTAGGTATTTGCACAGTGAAGATTACCATTATTGATTCAAAAAAGTTTATATTACATTTGTTTGATTCCATTGATGTGTCAAAGGAGAAAGGATACAAACGTGAGTGTCACTGGACAAAAGTATTGATTATTTTCCCAACAAATCAATCTAAACATTAGGATCTTTGGATTCACTTTTTCTTGTACTTTAACCTTGCCCAAAGACTTTTTTCCCCAATACAACTTTTAATTTCTTCCTAATTTGTTGTGGTAAAAAAAAAAAAAACAACACCCAAAAAACCCCCAAAAAAATAAAATCTAAAAGGTTAAAATATGTGAGAATGAAACATTACTTACAACATAACTGCATTCAGGTAATGTGCCAGTATGGAAGAAATCAGCCAGTGAATATCATGTGAAGAAAAGTTGTTCTGCAGTTCCTCTCTCTACTTTTAGTCCCATAGGAGCCTGTCGAGTCCTGCAGTACCCATGAAGATAGCTGTGAAACAGACTGCCCCTCGCAGTCTATATTTAGAGTTCAGCTTGGCCACTCACTCACTATACTCGCTTTGCAATATTGATCTGCTAAACCAGAAATCAGCACATACAGCTCTTTTTAATTATATTGGAATCATGATAATATCTCATCATGGAGAATGAGGGTTGTTACTGATGATCATCAGTATTTCATTAATCTTTTGGTTAGTGCCAAACTTCTTGGCTTTAGTGCTTGTGTAAAACGCATTTGCTATGCAGAAGAGTCGTATCTACAACACTGTAGCTATGAGTAACCAGCTTGCTATGCAGCACACTCATATCTACAGTATTGCAGCCATGAGTATTTTAAACTCATACACTAGAATAACCAGGGCCTTTCCTCCTTCTGCCATACACTTTATGAATTCAAGTGGGACAGTATTATGGGGTGGACTAATTTGTCTGGCATCCTTAGCTGTTTAAAGATTAAGTTCTGATGAACTGGTGGTAAGTAGTGTAATTGCTTCTTTGCTGACAGATATTTTGATCACTTTTTTTCTTTGCTGACATTGCAGGTGGCAGTTTACAGCACATTGTATTGACAGGCAGCTGACAGAGCAACTGCAGCAGAGGGACTGCAGCTCAAAACCACAAATCCATCACGTGTCTAAAATTCTGAATCCCTTTAAACAGCCCATAAACATATTTATCTCCCAGGAAACAAGAAAATAAATCACCTGACTCATATTTCCCACCCTAAGCTGACACACTTTCTGCTGCTCAGAATTGCTCCCTTTCTGCAGGAGTCTCCTGGAAGTCCTCCCTCCAAATAAGGATGTGAGAGCCAGAAAAAAAAATTTAAAAAAAAAAAGGAAAAAAACCCCATCAGTATGACATTCATGCCTAAAAACTCCTGACACCAAAATAACTGTAAGAGAATGACCCAGGGATGTCTGCAGGGCTGCAGCAGAGCCACCTTTGCGACAGCCCTGGAAGCCAGGCGGTCACTGCGGGTGGCAGCTACAGCGTAGCAGGGAAAAGGGCAAGCACCTGCTCGGGCCCCTGCCAGGAGGTGCTGCAGAAAGGCTGGACGGGAAGCCATCAAAAGTGCCTGGCAAAGGACACCAAAGGTGACTCAGCAGAAGCTGCGGGAGACAGCAGCAGGCTCAAAGGAACGGTTTTTCTCAAAGGGAATGGTTTTTCACCAGGCAAGTACAGGCACACAGCTTCACCCTGCTCAAGGATCAGTTTTTTGTCCACTTGTGTGACACTGACACATGTTCTATCAGCACAGTTTTCTGTTCAAGGTTTTGTGCAGTCCAAGTGATCAGTTTTGCAAGACAAGTCCTTACATAGTGGATTTATTTGAGGGGGAAAAAAACCAGGTTAAAGTAGAAAGTACAACTCATTAGTATTCATTGACTTTCTGGAATAGGTTCAGCTGTAATCAGAAACTGGGAGATGAAAAAAAAAACCCACTCCACCCCAAACCCAACTTTCCCTTATCAAAGCAGGCACCAGTCTTCAGGAGGCGGGGTTGTTTTCAATGCAATGTTTACTTCATCTGGTGACAAACATTTTAAGAATGTTTATTTAAACAAGCACTTTTACAGATCTTCAGGTTCAGAAGCCCCTGCTATCCAGGTTTCAGTGTCTTTATTACCTAACACCACACCACCCCCCCCATTCTTAAGTCAGTTCTCAGCTACTGGCTCATTTCAGTCCTATAGAACCAGAAATTGAGGTTAGAAGAGTTTTCAACATTATGAACACAGGGAAGCCAGAATGGTTCCTCTAAGATAAAGGACAATGTGTTTTGCAGCACCAAAACTAGAAAATTTTTGACCATTAGAGAAGCAATGACAAATCAAGCTTAATTAGTTGTGCATGCAAGTATAAGACACCTTTGAAACACAGAAAGGTAGACTTGGATGTAGTATCTACTAACACACTGAAAATACCCCAAGCACATGTTTGAACCAGCAAATAAACTCATCCCTTTCAAGGTTAAGGTTTTGCCAGTGTTACAGCTTTTAATTGATGGAGTAATTACTTTTACACAGAGAGCAGGCCATGAGAAACATCTTTATTCCAAAAATTAAATATTCAATTTCAGAACACAATCTTGCTTTTATTTTACATGGAGGCAAGTATTTGTCAATGGAAGTTACTGAACTTCATAGTCCCTGTCAGGATAAAGTTATACTTACATAGAGATTTCCTGTCTGTCACTGGAGTTTTAAAAAGTTACTAAAATAATTTCACACAAACATGGTCATCTTCACATATTCTTACCAGAACACTTGGTCAATGACTTGACCTTGATATAAAGAACCCAATCTGACACACAGCATTTGACTAGTTATCCACCCTATTCAATATATCAGTTACAACATAATTGACTCTTTGGAGCTAGTGGGGGGGCTAATGTATAGTATTATAATGTGTCCCTGCACCAAATGTTACATCCATCTATATACAATGTATACAAAACTAAGCAACAACATGCATTATATTTACAGACTATGTAACAAACCCGTGCACAACTGCAAACTGACTACAGAAGTTAAAAAATTCATTTAAATGTTACAAATTTATTTGAATTATGAAAATTGAACCCCATTGAAAAGGGAATCTAAAAAAATTCCCCCACATCTGCTCTTTTATCACGACATTTACTTCTAGCCTTTGTCCGAGCCTTGAATGCTGCAGAGTTGTACAAGTGCTACAAAACAAAAAAAGAAAAAATAATTACATATTGTCATAATACTTATGCCTGAGATTTTTCATGTTACAAAACAAATGAGTTTCACATGTGTGGAGCATGAATCTAGTACCCATCAGCAACCACATCAACCTTCAGACCCTTGGAAAAAATATAGAAGCAGACACATGCCCAGTGGAAAATTTAAGAGTTCACAGATGCATACAAGTAAGGCTAGGTTTCATTGAGGACAATATCAGGCACTCTTAGAACTACAGTGTAAAAATGACAACTTCTGAAGTGCAGGAGTAATTAGAGTGGGAAGCAAAGAAAATTCATTAGGGTGCAATAATAACCTACCCTTTCAAAACGGGATATCTTCATTGTTTTAAGAGTTGCAGCATCCAGCATTACTGGTGGACCAAGCTCAAACACATTCCGAAGAAAGTCATTTGACTAAATAAGAAACACACCAAATTATTAGTTTCCACTCTAATTATCAAGTCTCTTAAGCTGACTACTGTGAAATATCAAGTATTCCAGTAAGAAACCCTAGTATTTCTTTTGCTATCTTTTGCAATTAAGTCAAGAACACTTCCTCCTTCAACCAGAATAAGGCTAAAAGCAAAAACAGCCACCTTGAGAAGACAGACAGCTCCTCCTGCCTCCTTTGATATTTTTGCCCCAGCAAATGAGACACCGTTCTGTTCTACACAAAATCAGGCAGCTGAACAGACCTGTATGCCTTCACAACACACCAGTTTTAAAATATCTGTCTGTGAAAGTAGTGCTTGAAAAATCTGAAAAACCTGCTACATGTCTGAATTCCCTCAGTCACACAGAAATTCAATTAACACAGGGCTGAAGATTTTAACCCCATGATTATCACAGCAATTTGGGAGCATATATTCTTAAACTACAGCTGCTGCTTCTGTTACATATGTAAACAGATGACTAGTAAACAAGTTCCCAGAACAGATAAAGTATGCCTTCTCTTCTGGAATGCTGTCACCATTGTGTGGTGCTGCAAGTTGTGTTCATTATTTTTGACTAAAACTTTCCCTTTCTTTTACAGGCTTGAACAGGAAGGGTGGAGGCATGCAGCTTTATAGCAGCCAGACAACTACACCACTCTGCTGAAAGAAGCATAAGGGTTCAGGGAAAACCCTGAAGCTAAAAACATTCAGCTTAAATTTTTTACTTCTTGGAGAAGTCAATTACTATGCTAGTATACCCAGGCTACAACTCAGATGCAGCTTACCCAGACAGCTTTAGCTCACTGTAATTAATTTTTTAAGTGCTGTCCTTAACACCTCAAATACAAGGCTCATCACTTCACTAAGTTCTACTCAGGATTTTGTAATTCAGACTGAAGTCCATCAAAGAAGACAGAGAGGAAAAGTCTGGGCAAGTGTCAAAGAGCAGCTCACCTGCAGCTCACTTTAATTAATTTTTAAGTGCTGTCTTTAACACCTCAAATGCAAGGCTCATCACTTCACTAAGTTCTACTCAGGATTTTGTAATTCAGACTGAATTCCATTAGCTCACTGTAATTAATTTTTTAAGTGCTGTCCTTAACACCTCAAATACAAGGCTCATCACTTCACTAAGTTCTACTCAGGATTTTGTAATTCAGACTGAATTCCATCAAAGAAGACAGACAGAGAGGAAAAGTCTGGGCAAGTGTCAAAGAGCAGCTCACCTGCAAATGGTATTGCATCCCTGACCCCAGAATCTCCTTGAACGTCTCGTAAGTTTGCTTTTTAACCCAGCAGTCAATATACATGCGCTCGGGTCCAAACTTCACCATCTCTGTAGGGAAGTCACGCTCCTATGCAAAAATCAAAGGAAACATCTATAACTTTAAACAGTACTTTGTACAGATCAGTGAGCTTTATTTTGACTGATGAATTTGGCACACTAAAACCTTTCAAATAAGTGTGCATATGGTAAAGACTGTATTTGTTCATAAAGCAGATGCACACACCTACAGTCAAATCTCATGTAGAACTTCAAGCTGATATTCTTCATGATTACAAAGCAAAACCTTTCAAATAACACAGTGTGCATATGGTAAAGATTGTATTTGTTCATAAAGCAGATGCACACCTACAGTCAAATCTCATGTAGAACTTGAGGCTGATATTCTTCATGATTACAAAGCTTTTTGAAAAACAAACACTCAACTTTAATCTTTAAAATTACTTTAGATATTGGACTTATCTCCAGGAAAACCAGTTCCAAGTGCAGAAGTCACCTTTAAGTCAGACTATAAGCCTCAGTCTCTGCCTTATACAGGTATTTGGGACAATAGAATGTAACAAGTACTAATAGGTGACTCAGATCCTTCTACAGGCAGAATCCCAAAGGTGACTTCAAATTATGCCAAGCCTTCTCTTTCGCTTCCACAATGTTTAACTATTCCCAGTCTTTGTTCAACATTGCTAAAAAAGCAGTTCTATTCCACATGTGATCTGACTACAAAATCTCACTTAAAATAGCTTTTTCCTGTTTCCTTCACCAAAAGGATGAATTTTATTATTAAACAGAAGTAATTCTGTTTAATAATAAAATTGCTTTCACTAAATGGTACACTATGTATTTTGAAGGTCTAGATTGTGACTAGGACAAAAGAATCACCTCAACAGCCCGCAGAACGTCTCTGAAGACGGATCGCTGCTTTCTTTTATCCACTTTGGCCCGGTGCTTGTTTCCATCAGTAGCCAGAGCTCTTAGTTTCTCTGTTAGAAGGTCCATATCTTCATAAAAGAAATCCTAAGTTACCAGAAAAAATATTTTAGTTTTTTTTTAGATTTTAGTTTATTTTCTGGCCTTAACCTTTTTCCCCACAAAAAAAAAAAAAAAAGATCTCTTTAAATTTTGGGCATGTAGATCTCTACAACCTCTTACTTTATTTAAAAAGACAGAGAGCACTTCTGCGGTTCCATTTGCAGCACTGAAACCAGCAAAAACTAAAGTCACTGCACCCAGTTTACCAGGAAGGACACTAACAAAGTCTGTTTGGTCAGCCATGTGACCCACACAGCTCCATCAGTGTGCACATACACCTGCCAATCTGCTCTACTCAGTAATTCCAAGGGACTCAAACTGCCTAACAGGTCTGCTGAACTACTCCTGCCAACAAGCTGAGGGCACTTCAGTGTTATCACAGAATTCCTGCTGCTGGAGGCAAACTGTGAGACACCACTGGACTGACAGTATGGAATATTTAGCTGTAAGTCTTGTATGGAATGGGAAATTAGGAAGCTTTAATACTTAACAAAATACTAAGTAAACGGTAATAAATAGCTTTGTGCTATTCATTTTATTAATTAATATGTGCTTTACATATATATAAATATTTTCTCCACTGCACTTAATTCAGCAGTAGTTCACCTGGACTAGTAAAAATGTATGCAAACTTACGTACAAGTTTTTGTGGTTTGTATTTTTTTTAATCTGAATGTTTTGTCATGTCAACTGACTAGAGTGAGCTTACTGCAAGCTTTCTGAAAAGAACTGGTCAAAGGCACATACAGTGAGTATTTTTAATCTGCACTAATTAAGGATTCAATGAGAATAATATGTAATCATTAAAGGGGCATTTCCTCAATGCAACAGCAGAGATTATAGTGAATAGTCTCTTTGCTAACACATTTTAAGATTTTAATTACTTGCAGTTGGCTTGACCAAATAAAGGATCAAGTTGTGGTTTCCACTTATTTTTTCCTTTCAAAGTTGACTTCCATAGCCAAGAGACCCAAATCCACACTGCTTGCATTTATAAAGAAGCTTTAACATTGTTTCAGATTATGCTGTGCTAGTGTGTCATGATTCCTGACTTAAATGGAGTTATCCTTTCACTTTAGGCAGCATTCTGGCAAAGCGCAGCAGCCTTGATTGGGTTGGGAGCCCTTCAGGCAACTCTCCCCAACTGTGCCATGCGTAAGCAGAGGGAGGCTGTTTCCTGCAGTGCTGTCAAGAAAAAAGTCTGAAAATTAATAAGGCATATTGAAGAATGTAAATGCAGCTTTAGCTGTGGACAAGCTAATATTGAGCAGTTTGCACCTAATCCAATTCAACAGCAAACTCCAAGAAATCCTATCAAATGAAGTATTACTGATATCTGTGTGAAATTTGTGCCAATTCTTTAAAAGACACCCCCTTAAAACAACTGCCCGGTTCTTAACTGACTAAAATAGTCAAATGCTGTGAAACCATCATG